GAGGAATTAAGCACAGCGCCGACGAGTGTCAGATGTATTCCTCCAGAAACCACAACATGCACAGCATTCTGGAAGTGCTGAAAGCACGCCTTGCACATATGCACATCTAGCAGGACCACAGTGTCGACAAGTGCCGCTGCATTCGTCTGTATATACTCTAAGCCAAAGGAGAGCAGCACCAGTGTTGAAATGAACCAGTTACCAACAATGGGCTTATGCAGACCGAATAGCATTTAAAGCACTTGTGAGATTACAGTTGGCTCTCAAATTGGCATGAGTTGACTCAGATTCGACTCAGAATCACACCGAGATCACAAAGGAATCTATTTCCGTTGACCCGATGAAAATTAGGCTGATCTCGGAACTGACTCGGACTTCACCTGAAATTAAACACAAGTCTGGGACTCAGGAGTTCAAAATACGTCGGGTTAAATCACAAAAAACAGACATGTTTTTAGTTCCCCATCGTGAACGCATTTTTGGTTATTAGCGGCTTACGGGCAAACGCACTGTACTCTATACGTCAGGGATTCCATTTTTTTTTGGCGCCTCGGTGAGACGATCTTGACCACATTGTCCTGTCAGCTGTATGCCGCAGTACGTGTGTATACAGAGCGCCTATCCCAGTCGCTCGGTCCCGATGGTCAGAAGACTGCGTGACCCAGAGAGTGGCCGAGTTCTCCGGATGGGTCACCGAACCTGAAGTAGCCGCTGGGTACCGGCAGTCAGAAGACTACTCGGTGTCCCAGAGCAGGTCCGTGACCTCCGTATCGGTCACCGAACCGAAGGGACCGCGCGGTCCCGGTGGTCAGAGGACTACGTGACCCAGAGCGGGAGCGATCCCTCCTGATGTGTCACCGAACCGAAGTAGCCTTTCGGTCCCGGTGATCAGAGGACTGTTCGGTGACCACCCGGAACGAGGCCGTGCCCTCCAAATCGGTCACTGGACCGAAGGTGTCTTTGAAGGCAGCCCGTGCCTGTGAACCCGCTGAGCGTGCAACCTGAACTATCAAGATACAACGCTTATCCCGCGACTTCCCAATCGCTATTATCTCTTGGATGTCAGACGGTCGAAAAAAGCCCACCAACGTCACGTTTGAGTAAAAGAACCCCGCATACATTGTCGCGCTTTAGTCAGCTGCGCCACCGAAGAGGTAGACATCATTCGGCGTGCGGTATTGGAGCTACGGCTTAGCAGAAACCATCTACGAGACCAAAGTCTTCGTTCTTTGAAGAAGCGACCCTTCCCGCGTGACAAATGTACCGCCGATTTCGCCTTAAGAGGGCGCGGCAGACATGACCCAGCAGCGCTCTATCGCCTGCCACTGGGGTCGTTCAGGGCCGCCTACTGCCGTGGCAGGGCCGGGCGGCGGCGGCGGTGCCGGCGGCGGTAGCGGCGGCGGCGGCCCTCCGCCCGTCCCCAGAGCGCCAGCCTATCGATTGGCTGTTCACCGCCGGGGGTGGGGCGGCGGGTCGTCGGCGCGCGTCGCCGGAGGGCATTCGTCGAGGTCGACGAGCCGGCCGGACGCGGCGCCGGCGGCGGGAGCGTGTGCGCCCGCCTCCCGTCCTCTCGGAGGACTCGCGGTACGTGGGAAGGGGAAGAAGGTCGGCGCGGAAGGGCTGCGCGGCGCTGGAAGGCCTTGGCGGCAGGGTGAGCAACCTGTGACCAGGTGAGTTTCGTGGCCGGTGCCGCTGCTCGTACCTGTATCACGTTGGCAGATGTCCTCGAGGAAATTATGGCATCGTCGGACGATCGTTTGTTTGCTGGATTACTCTGTCTACATGCGCTGGTACCTGCTAGAGAAAGATAATAAAATAATGGTACCGAATTTTGACTTTGCTAGGCAATGAACATGTGCGCATAGGGGCATGTGCGCGCTATGTGTAAACCACAAGCTCTCCAGATTTTCACAGGAATGTAATGTCCATGTGAGTTCTCACGAATTGAACTCTAGAATAAGTTCGCGATCCCCACACACCTCAGCAGATGCATCGCCTCCTCCGTCTGAGTTTGCTGGGCCAGGCCGCGTCTCACTGCTCGCCGCTCAATACATGTATGGCACGTGCCTCACTCGCGGACCTTGGCAGTGGACGTAATTAAGACATCTTGAGCTCCAGGCCTCGGCACAAGGACTCAAATGAGCTTCGGCAGCAGGAACATATGTTACAAACGGCATAAAACTTAGTTGCTTGTGCTGTCGAAAGCATCATCTAAAATACTGAACACGAAAGGCTGGATCGTGGACTAGGGAACCGTGGACTCTTCTGTATACGTTCTCGGAGGTCTGAGTGTAAGCAGACATAGCTGCTAAATTTCCCTTCTCCTTCTGATTCCTTCTGGCCTTTGATCCAATGACGAGCCCACTATCAGACGACAAATACATGGGGTGGGGTGAAGAGTGACGCCCCTTCCCCTCGCTACCGCAGAGAGACACCGACAACAGACGCGTTGAAAGCGCCGCCCACTGTCCGGGTTAGATCACCGTGCCTGTACGGTGATCTAGCCCGGTGATCATCTGCGGTGCAAGTCCTCAAACGCTAAAACGATAGCACGGCCGTCTATCAGCGTCACATTCCCAGACGACACGTCCCCGCTGCCCCCTGACTGACCGTGAGACGCGGTGGGTGCACTCAGAGCACATAAGGTGCATGAAGGCGGCGTGCGGATCGGTGGAAGGGTGGACAGATCCATCCTCCCCTTTCGGCGGCTTACGGAGTGAGAGGTGGAGCGACCCAATGCACAACAACCGCGAGGAAGTAAGTCCCGGTGTGAAAGCGGGCTCAAGGGAGCAGCAGAAAACGTGCACCAAGAAGGCAGGGAAGGAGCTGAAGAAGAGGATCATCGAAGGTTCGAGGACGGAGCGAATGACCACGGCGGGACAGAGCAGAGGGACGCACAGGACTTACGGAGCGACAAAAAAAAAACAGTACGGAGAAACGAGAAAATGTGACCCGAAGCGGGACCGGGAGCCGGTACCTCGGCAGGAAGCTGCGGCCGGCCAACACTTGAGTACGTTCAGCTCAGAAGCCAGTAACCCCCCTCGCGTCCCGGCTGGCACCAGTACGGCTGTCGCCGTTGTGCCCCGTTTTTAGCGTCATTGGTCGTGCTCATGACAGGCTGTTCTCTCCTCGCGTAGAGCAGCGTGGTGAACTATAGGTAACGATGCATAGGTTAGCCTTGCGTAAACGCGCTCATTGCTGGGAGCCGCGATTGTTTTGGTGGTGTCGTTCATAGGTAAAGCGCTCTTGTATACCTGCATGTATGTATGTCCGTTACAGGCAATGGTGGTTTTTCGATTTAGTCTCTCGTTATATGTAATAAAGCAAAATGCAAGCGTGAGTTTGAATGATGGACTACCTGATATAGATTATATAGTCAGCTGCTTACTATAATCTGGCTTAAAAATATAAAAATATGAGTATACAAAATGGGACTGTGTATACTAAGCGTACATGCAGCATGTGTTTTGCGTTTTTTTTACGTAATGATGAGCTTTGCTTCCGTCCTAAGCAAGCAGAGCTCAGAAAACAAGCGCTTCTTTGAATAAGAAGTATCTGTCGTTATTACCAATCGGTATTTATCACACAGTCTGCTTTTGAAAACACAAAGACACTCGAGTGAATTTTTCAAGTATAAGGTATGGAAAAGTAAACAAGCAGGCCCAGGTGATTACAATAGCGATGCCAGACAAAGCAATCAAGGTCAGCCGCATATATCGCTGATGTCTATGACAGCATGCCTGTGAGCTGAATAAGGGCTCGACTCTTCACCGCCCAACAAAGTGCACACCTTGGCGCTGCGTTATCACATCAGATTGCTGACGTTCTGATCGCTGATAACCAGCCACCGGTTTTGGATCGCTCGTGACCAACACGGCGTTTAGATCGGCCACTGCTCCATCGCCAATACAGAGCCTTGTCTCCCGTTGTCAGCTCTCACCCGAGCACGCACGCGCGCAGGTGCGGGCCGCACGCCCGCTCCCAGCGACCAGGACTTACATCGCCGCAGGAGCACTTCGTCCCGAAAGGAGCGACGGTGAACGAGATAATTGGCAGGACCGGCGGCTAGTGTACTTCCACCCAGGGTCAGGGTGGCGGCGGTTTGTGACTGAGTCACTCCGAGCTCCGAGCTCTTTGCTCTGCTCGCCGACTTGGCGGAAGGCATCGATTTTTGTCGATACCGAGTGTCGTCCTCGTGGAATGAGCCACCGGTTCGTGTAGCTGAGTGCCACTCACTGTCCGCCGTCAAGCGTGCCGTGAGGGACGTGAGCGACCGAGCGGAGATTCGAGATGCGGTGATCTTGTGGCTGATGCCGATTCATACTCGCATGTCGTTTTTATCTTTGCACGTCTGTAGTGTTTTTAGTCGTGCACGTTGTGTTCTACTACTTCTGAGAGTAATCGTGCACCTGTTTTTGCATTTGACTCTATAGGCATCAGGCGATTAACTGTTCTATCTTGCTTTGACGTCGCTCAATTACTGGACGCAAATCCGGAAGTGATTTGATGAATGTATTTTAGATCAAATACACACATATGCACATCCATATTGTTTTAAAAACCAGTGAGCCAGGCCAGCTGGTTACGACTCGAGTCACTCATCGAGCGTGAATCTATGCGCATGTAGGTAGGTGTAATCAATATACGTGTGCGCTGGGTAAACGAAGTAGTCAGATGTTCTCTTCATTTATCGGTAGTTCTCGTTTTCTTTTGCTGTTAAGGAAAGGCACAAATGCACGGCCGTTACGTTCATCGATGCGCCCTATATAAGAACACAGCTCAAATCGCTATTCTCGATGAATGAACGCGGAGTGCACGCGGATCGCAACGGATGATAGCTGTACTGTACACAACAGAACCAAACCCAGCATTGTCCATGACCCCTACGCCTGCAAACACATCTGGTGCTGGTCTCTGCCCCAGCCTGCAACCTGAGCTAGTCTCTGGGGAGTCGGAACACTCCCGGAAGCGGGCCCCTCAAAGCAGTGCCTCTCTTTCAGCCCCCCGGGAGTGTCGTCACGGCGCCGCGGTCCGCCATGTCCGCGCTGCCCCCGTCGGACGTCACCGCCGTGACGGGCTGGCGCAACGTGTCCGGCGAGCCGAACGACACGCTCACCACGCTCCAGCCGCCAGACGCGGCTGGGTACGTCATCTGCCCGAGCTACCTTCCGCTCAACCACGTGTACTTCCAGGTCAGTGCGCTCTGCTGTGGAGCGACGTTCGTCTTCAAATCGCCGCGGGTTTAGCGGGATGATGCAAGTGCGACCACGGGTCTTGCGAGCGACGGCGATGAGCACGTCTTCAGTAAACCGTAGCGAAGTGTCAGTGAGCCACAGCCGTCAGCCCGCGAACCAGAACAACAGCGCCAGGCTGCCGTTTCGCTTGACCACACCGGCGACTACTCGGTATGCCGAAAGGCCTCGCGCCCCCGGCAGATGGACGGCTGGTCCCACCTTGCAGTGCCATGGCGCGTTGCGACAGACGGCACGGCACGGCCGCTGGACGTCCGGTTCATGAGCGCTGCGTGGCAACCCGGGGCTCAGGCAGGGGCTCACACCCATCGGAGCATCAACGGACTCTCATACATTGATGGACTGTGGTGATCGTTTTGGATAGGATTGTTGGTAGCAGGCTTTGTACATGCCTGCGTAGGTGATCTTGTAACGAGTAATTTAATCGCTCGAAGTCAAGTTTGCTAACCATGCATGACTGCTGAATATGCCGGGATCGCGGAAGTCTGTCGCTCGAAGCTGGTCGGACCCATCGAACAAACAACAAAGTTCAGCGAAGCGAGCAATGGTACTCGGCATGCGACCACATTCCGCGTGCTGACGCTGGTTCCGCGCCGTCCCGCCAGGTGGCCAACTTCTTCCTGTTCCTGTCGTACCTGGCGCCGCCCGGTCTGGGAGGGCTGCTGTACCTGCGCTCCACCCTGGCCATCGGGCTGTTCTTCCTCGCCATGTGGGGTTACGTGGTCCTCTGCGCTCTGGACACGTTCCTCTGGAACTTCGTCTGCATGTGGATCAACCTGGGACACGTCGGCTACCTGCTCTGGACGCTGCGGCCGATCCGCTTCGACAAGGACATGGAGCAGGTGGGGCGCTGCGGCGCGGCTTCTGTGGACGCCAGCGCAGCTCGGCCAGCCAGGTGTGTGTGAGGTCGTGAAGAATGCCGCGTCGATGCCGGCCAGTCAGCTCCACGGCTTCGACTCCCCGATGAAGCGCTTGCGTGTTGATGTGTTGTGCCAGTTCAAGTGAGTCCTGAGCTTATTTAGATAGCGCGTTTCAAAAAGCGCAAGATAGATGCTGCGAATTTAGGTTTATCTTAAATGTACCACAACCATGGACCATTGACGTACAAAGCACCATGGATCTTTAATATACAAAAAGAAACGTGAACTATTAAGATACAAAACTCCATTGACCATCTCTATACAAAAATGAACCCGCAGCATGCTAAAATCCCACACAATACACCCTCCCATGACTCTGCCATCGTACAGTGCGTGCGTGTTCCCTCAGCCGCCCCCGCCGACGCCCGTGACGACCCCCCGTTCGGCAGGTGTATTCGGCCATGTTCCGGTCGCTGAATGTCAGCCGGCGGCAGTTCCAGAGGGTGCTGAGCTGCATGCGTGGCGTGCGCTCCGTCAGCTTTCAGGAAATGCTGATCCAGGAGCACGTGACCAGGGTGGACAGTCTGACCCTGGTGCTGTCCGGACGGTGGGTCCTAGCCCATCCCGTCGTATGCTGGCTCCCCGGAGTTGCTCGGCTCTGGTCGACAGACTCCAGCGCTACCTACTGTAGTACGGCTTTCTAAAACTTGACCGCTGGTGTTTCCATATGTGTTTGTTATTCCGTTCTTTTTTTGTATGCACTCTGAATGAGGATGTCTCTCTCATACTGTACTGCAAGTGGTACATTTACGGCCAAGCTGTATCCATTTGCGTCACGTCTTGTTGTTGTTTTTTTAACATTAAGTTCCGGATCTGCCGATCTCTGTGCAATGGTAGACACGCTCCTAATTGCCTGCTCTTGCGTGACGTTCAGAACTCGCATTTGGTCGGTATGATTGGATGACACCAGGCCACACTCCGCACCTGGTTAGAAGCCGCCGCGGGACTCGGTGTGCCACCCACAGTGACCTCCTGACCTGACCTGACCTGCGCCGCAGGTTCGTGGTGTCTCAAGGCGGTAAGGCGCTGCACGTGGTGGCTCCGGACCAGTTTCTAGACTCGCCCGAGTGGTTCTCGGTGCTCACCGACGACTTCTTCCAGGTCAGTTGGACAGACGTTGAGCCCAGGCTGATCACACTGCTTTCGCTTTGGAACTGGCCTGTCAGCACCACCGGTGCCATGACCGGTGAACCCGCATTGCTCGCCGTCCCGCATGATTGCATCGGCTTGCGTCGCTTGCGCATCGTGTGCATCGGTCAGTCAGTACACGAGTTTTGTGGAGGAAGCTTATTGAACAAAATGTCCCAAACCGCATACCAACGGAACTAAAACTGACTTGGAAACTGAAATGGACGACACCCAGGAAAATCGTTGGTGATAAAATGATGCTTCGTATTTCGTACGTCGTGGGTTATCTTGTCCTGACACGAGAATATCTCCCCTTGATTGTAACGCCCTCTGACACTATACTAAATAACGAATGCAAATCCGTTGAACCCAAAGCGACAGCATGGATTGCCATGAAGCTTGTATTTGAGTAAGAACAAAGGGCCAGACAACTGCACTCCTTGGTTCGGAAGCAGCACCTGGGAGTAGTGGATGTTGCCTCACCAGGTCGGGTGTCCCCCACTCATCCCCCGCACCACGTCAGTCAGGACCACTGACCGGCCCGGTTGACCTGGCCAAGGTCACCAGGTCAGGTCACCTGAGCTATCTGCTGCCAGGTCAGCATCACGGCCATCGAAGAGAGTCGCGTACTCGTCTGGCACAGAGACAAGCTCAAGTTGAGCATTATGGGCGAGCCGTTCCTGCAGGCCGTCTTCGATAACGTGCTTGGACGGGACGTAGTGCAAAAGCTGCTTCAGGTCAGTTTGTCAGGCTGGACGGCCCGGAGTCCACATGGGAACTCATTTCGAGGCCGGGAACGGCTTACAGTTTTCAAAACTTTCGACATCTTTTGGAACACCATGCCTGAAACGCATAGGTTTTGACTGCAATATCCCATGTTGAGGCGCAGAACAATCTATTTCAGTTAGCCCTGTCAAGCTGAGTTATGTACTATACTTTGCGGTTATCGCTGATAAAAGTCTGCTGGAACTTGGGATCTGAGATTCCAATTTTCTTTTAAGTTTCACGTCAGAGTTTAATGCATCCGTCAAACGAAAACTGCTGTGGAACTTGTGACCGATAACGGCGCATTCGACATTCACAAGCGTCGCTCCCGGCCGTGACTCAAACTAGAACCTCGTGCTGTCGCCGCCAGGTGGACAGGTCTTTCTCGCTGGGTGACTGTCCGTCAAACGGAGGCACACTCAACATCCTAGACCGGCACTCGGCCCTGATGCTGGTACAGCGGACGGACCAGGGCGCCGCTACCACCGCCTCTGACCAAACAGGCCAGGGTATGTGTCGCGCAGCACGCTACAGACTACAGACTACAGCTCGCGACAGCACGCTGCGGTATCGGGCGACGCAGGGTAAGAATGTTCCTGCAGGCAGGCGAGAACAAGGCAGCGCGATCCCGTGTGGTTCTGTCCCTCACGATGATGCCCCAGAATGTCCAAGGTACGTCCGGTCCACGCCCAGAATGGCCAAGGTCCGCCCAGTCGACGCCCGGACGGACCAGGGTGTGCTGGTCTCCAGCTGATTCCAGTCGATGTTGTCTCCTCCGGCGGCTGGCGTGACGTTTGTGTTCCAGTGGACGCGTGAGCTGCCGCGAGGCGCCATAGGTCTCAATGTGTGCATAGATGAACCCTAGACGACCCCCAGCTGTACAGCTTACCGGTGGTCATGACCCGAACTACGCGCATCGGACCGATTTACACTAGTAGAGACTACAGCGGCGATGATCTCAGCTGCCGAGCGCCCGGACGTATCGTTGTCAATCCCTTTCCTGCGTGCGACTTCACTGCAAGCCCCTGCCGTCTCAGTTCTCCTTCTTCGTTCGGGTTTTTTTTTTAGTTTCCTCTGGCGCAACCAGTCCCTGCGATCCCCCCGACGTGGTTCGCCAACGCTATCCCTGCAGCTCTCCGGCGTCCACCGCGGCAGCCAGTACCCCGTGATGTCACTGAGGCCTGCTGTGGTGCTGGGTGACGTCATAAAGCTCCGCAGCGCTGCGTGATGACGTCACTCGCCGCTGACGCTCGCTCGGTTTCCAGAGGCGGACGAGAGCGCTTGGCGGCTGGGTCCGATAGATGAGAACATGAAGGGCGGCACCAGGGTCTGAGTGGACGCCCAGCGTCTACTACTGGCTCGGCAGGGGACGGAGGAGGTCTGCAGGGCTGGCCCGCACGCGGATGTGGTAGCTCTGGTCAACATCAGCAGCATTTGACGCCCATCTCCGCTAAAAGCCTCCCGGGACATCAGCAGAGGCGTGGCCAGAAGGCAGTGATGAACGCCAAAGAAACGGGTGGAGTTGTGGAGAGCTTATCAGGCTGCTGCGGTGGGGATGACATTCATACAACTTCGAAGTTTTGTGAATGAAACGAGGGTGACGCACAGGGGCGTATGCACATACTGGGTCTCCGCATCCAATTTTACATATGCATTGGTATGTGGGCGAATATGTGAATTTTATGAAATTCTGGTTAAACACCTTCATATAAGTACATTAAGAGCACGCGACGTTGTTTTATGTCATGCAACAAATTTAGCGCGTCTGCGGCCCACCGGACTTGGTTATCAGCGAAAAGCTTTGAGTTGTGACCCTCCCATCGCGAAACCCTGCATACACCCCTGGTGACGCACAGCCACGTCTGGTTGAAGCTTTGCGGTTATTCTGTGCGACATGGCTTCCCTACCGAAAGAGTGAGGAAATGACGACAAAACATGACAGCGAAACCCTTGCAACGAACCTCCTTACAGGAAACCCATCGCATAGAACATCCATGACGCCAAGAT